ACTTAGGGATTGGAGCCCTAATATTGGTAAAGGCGACTAGGGAATGGAGGCCCTACGTCTAAAATCCCAACTTAGGGATTGGAGCCCTAATGTCGGCAAAAAAGCGAAAGATTTATTTTGGGGCTTCTAAACTACCCCTTTTTTATTTTCTTCTTATCTATTTTCTTTCAATTCATTTTTTTAGTAAAAAAAATGCAGGAAAGAATTTGGAGGAAGACTTCCCTTTTGGATTGATTATTGTTGCTAAACTATTTCTAGCGCTTGCACATTTCTTTTTCCATTTTGGTGACACCTGCTTCTTGCACTGTTGCTTTGGATTGCACATGTTTCAATTTTCAAACAAATAACAATTGTTAGTTTGAAACGGTGGTCAGTTTTGTGGCCTTCATTGTTTTTGATCACTCGATCTCGGCCCAACTCTTTTGGAGAGAACCTTTGCCTCTGGCTGGCTTTTACTAAAGATTGGTCTCTCTCCTAAAATCGAGGAACTCAACTTTTCAAAATTTATCATGACGACTCAACCGTACAAGGCTTTGACCCTTTCAATTTAATCTGCTTCTAGGGACTTTTGACTTTGGATTTCTTTTCATTTTCAATAAATCTGATTCCAGAGCATCGGCTATCATGTCCAGTAGGGACTTGGCTGGGTACTTTTCTTTGGACTTGGCTTTATTAATCAAAACCCTGTAAAACCAATCTTTCCACCTTTTCTTCGTATTAGTTTCGGAATAGAGTTAGACCGAAAGGGATTCAAGGAAAAGTAAAGAAAGGACAAGAAAAAAATGAATTTAAGGAGAAGCGTCCCTTTGGGGGAAAGAAGGACTTATCTGAGGTGCATGCATATTTCAATAGACATGACATGTTTCTTGGACTGGATACCCGATATGCACAACTATCCAACTCATTGTGAACCACATCTCCAAATCGAGAAAACTGGCCAAGACTCTTTCAGTGGTGGGGTTGTCTTCTTTTCGATCGACGGCGCCCTTTGCGGGTTTTCGCCAATAGACCTCTCTTATTTCTCTTCTCACTGTCGCCTGATAGCACTCTTTACAAGTTTTCACTAAACAGGCTCTCTCATTTTCAGTTTTTCTGCTCACCGTCGTCTTATGGTGNATCTTCGTCATGGGGGACGGTTTGAAATCTTCCCAGTTGGCGCAAAACCCTGTGAGGAGCATATAGTTGAATGCTCCGGATGCCCATTAGGAGAAAGTAGCACACTTTAGCTGACATGTATATGACCTCGGTGGCAGGGAGCCATCCAAACGTCCACTCAATTTTATCCGAAGTTAAAGAACTCAAGCGGGCAAACCAAGCTTCGATACCTTCTGGAAATTCAACCCCCGCCACTCGGCTTTCAAATTCTTTGATGCAATCCAAACCGGTCATGCCGTAGTTCATATACCCGACACGGTGGCAGAGATGTTCCAGTATCCACAGTTGCAGTAGTAAGTTGCAGCCTTGGAAGAATTTTCCCCCTTCTCGACAGATGGTCAAGGCTCGGTAAATCTCAGATAATATTAGGGGAACTAATGTGCCATTAGCTTTCTTGATTACGACATCAACCATTCCTACGAGGCCCAATTCTATGTTGCCGTCTTTTTGCGGACATATTATAACACCCAAGAATGCTACTATAAAAACCAAACCCCGTCTTGCCTCCCATTTATCTTTATTTCCGGCATGGGTCAGACCAGTATTCGGTGCTTCGAAACCTTGGGGATTGCCATAGCGTTGGTACAGGAACTGGAAAGTGCAAAACCCTTCAGATAAATTCTCATCCTGAATATCCCGGCTAATACTCAACATATCCAGAAACTTGTGAGGAGATAATTGTCTTGGTGACACCGGGTACCGACTTCTAAAGTTTCTGCTAAGGCCGGCGTAACCCGCAATTTCCTCTAGCGTGGGTGTGAGCTCAAAATCAGAAAAGCGAAACACATTGCGAGTCGGATCCCAAAAAGGTATCAAGGCTTCAATCACGTCCAATCTTGGCTTGATGTTAAAAAGTCTGACAAGACCACCCAAAACTTATATCACAGTTCCTCGGCTACCTTTTCCTAGGTCATTCCACCACATGTGGAGTTGTAAGGGGATCTCTTCAAGAGCTACGAAGGGTTCATTTTCATTTGTGCTCATCCTGCACATTTATTAGGGTGATTTAATTTAAACGGTTATGACTCATTTGGACTCAAGAAAAGGTTATCAAAATTTCATAAAAAATCCGGCTTTGCAAATACGGCCTTTCAGCACTTCGGGGAAGAAGATTTTAAGGTTGTGTTTGCTAAACAGCTAAATGGCTATTCTTGCAAAAACTACTAAAGTGGCTGTTCTTGCGAAAATGGCCTTCCGGCGTCCTTTTGGGGACATTCAACTATTTTAGACAAGAATGACATCACCTTCTTATTTACAATCAAAACAAAAATTTTGTTCTTTTGGGATACTTTTACAAAAATGAAGTTGGACCCTTCTTAATGAAAGAAATGCTTCTAAAAAATGACATATTTTGAATTTTCTTTCCAATTTGAAAGAAGAATGAAAATATATTTTTTTTATATTAAAAAAATTTCTTATTTTATTATTTTTTTTTAAAAAAACAATTAGGGTCTAAAGAAGCAAGTAATGGCAAATAATTTTTGGATTTTTTTGAAAATTATGGGCCGGAACCGATAAGGTTTGCCTACGTATCTCACATCCGGTGAGAATCAGACCCGTATAGTTCGCCTGTTTTGACAGAACATGGCAGTTGAAAACTTTAGCTCATTTGGAGATTTCGGAATTTTCTAATTACCTACCTCTCACTCCTATATTATTATTATTTATTTTTATTTTTTTTTTTGATTTTTTTTTTTTTATTTTCTTCCTCTGTTCTAGAAGCCGGTCAACATGCAAGCCGAAACATACAGATGCGCAAATAGCACGTAAGATGCATCAAGATAGTCTTTTTCATTTGGGTATACTTGTTCTAGACAGACCCAACCCCTGTGTTGAGTCTCCAAGGTCAAATGCACATGATACAAACAAACGTTCCTACTAGGGATCCGGCTTGAGGCTTGTTATACTAGGTTTAAAAACCTGGGTTTATTGTTCTAGACCTGGCTTACCCGAGCGGACAGCTCGATCCGGGGGGGCAGCGTACCGGGAATACAGAAGCTTCACCGGCTTTGCAACTTGTCCGAACCTCGTTCTAAAATTGGGATAAGACTCTAACAGAAAAGAAGTCACACGAAGTGCACACTTCCCAGATGATTTAGAAGACTCATAGAGAGGAGGGTTTCGTAGCAATTTATATACAGTCCAAACAATATCAAAGCGGTAAAAGCGACATTTAGCACATTAAGCTCAACATGTAAAAATCAGATAAAACAAGCCAACTATAACAGTTATTCTAAGCTCGAATTCTTGAACCCTGAACCGAAGTTCTGGGTTCAGCATTCCCCAGCAGAGTCGCCAGAGCTGTCACACCTCCTTTTTGCGCACCTACCCCAAAGGATAAAATGCGTGAGGGAGTTTTTCTCTTTTAAGTGACATTATTCGAAAATGGGATTATTTATTTATTTCAGAGTCGCCACTTGGGAAAGGTTTGGCTTTTGGTGTCCCAAGTCACCGGTTTATCTTGAATCCCAAATCGAGGAAATTTTCGACTTTCCAAATGAAGTCTGCGAACCAGAAATTATAAGGAATTTTGTTGACCCGAGGGAAGGTGTTAGGCACTCACGGATTCTGTGGTTCTAGCACGGTCGCTTAAATTGTTATAATGGCTAAATATCTGATTTTAGTACATGTTATAACTTGGTGCTTTTATTAAGTTTAAACCGCTTTTATTATTATTTTTAATAGAATTGCAACGTCGTGAAAATGCATCTCGAACCACGTCGCAATCAATGCACCAGTGGTTGTTAATACATTCCGACTCCGTTGAGATTTGGATTTGGGTCACATAAATGCGCACCCGAATTTAAGAATGTAATTTATTAAGAATGCTCCTAAATACTAGCGTATTATTATTTTTTTTGGGGAAGGCCGTGAAATTCGCTAAACGGCCATTCTGAATTCTAAGTATTTTTATTATGACCAATTATTGAGGGCCCCGCAATTTGTATTTTTTATTTGGCGAGGCTAGTCTCATCATCTTTATTTAAAGATCAATCTTGAAGTGACTATGATTTTTTTTTATTTATTTGTCTTTAATAATAAAAGAAGAAAACCTAATTATTTAGCCTATTTGAAAGAACCAAATCCTTATAAATCCATTTCAGATCAGCCCGGGCCAATAACTAAATAAATAAAAATGTATCCTTTTAGCAACTCGTTCAAGACAGCCCCTATTGTGTTCATAAGGGGGCTGGACGGTCTGGGCCCATAGTGAACCCAGAAACATGACAACGGTTTCAATTTCGAAGCCTGCCAGGGTTTATATGCCCCAATAAGCCTTTTTTGATTCAAATTGCACGCTAGTCCTCAATCACTGGACACTCAGACCATTCAATTCATTTAATGGTGCACATATATGGTGAAACGTGAACATTAATTTCATTTATAAGGGGTGGGGACGAGATGGCCTTTCAACATGCAAATGCAGCGTGTATTCTTTCAGATAGGAGATGTATCTAGTGCTTTAGAATCCAAAACGTATATAGTTGTATAAACCCGGCGCTCCAAATTAAAACTCAACTTCATGCTATTAAACTAAACTACGTGAGTCATTGATGGATTCCCTTAAGCACGGATTAAGTTATGACTCACTGTCTGTGAATAAAGTATCTAATGCTGAATGAACTTGAATCATACTAAAACTATACTAAGCAATTGTATTAACACAAACTCCCAATTACGCCAGCCCAAGACAATCCAAAACTGAATACAAATGATTTGAAATTAGTCCACTACTCGACTGTTTGATGATTGATTGTAATATGCAGATCTGGAATCAGTTAATTCAGTTGCTGACTTTCAGTTAAACTAATGTCGTTATTAAGATTATTAACTAAACAAAATTCCAGCAACTAGATAGTCCGTTAACAGTCCAAAGTAAATCAAATTATACAGTAGCTGTCCTAACCAATACCAAACAAAACTAAGCTATATTAAGTAATTACACATCAACTAATATCTATTTTTTTTTTTTGAAACACAGGTGCAGGGTAAACTACATGAGCACAGATGTGGAGGCCAAAGCATGAATATTTCCATTTCTTTTTCATCTTTCAAGTCAAAGCTACATCAAAGCTTAATTCGAGTGTGTACCTGAATTGGAAAGTGAGAAGAAGGAAAGGTAAATCAGCAGCAGCAGATAACAAATAACAGTAGTAGCACCACAATCAGTAGTATGGGATAAATAAGAAACAGCCCAGTGAAACTCAGAGATCCAGAAATGTTTTAGAAAAGAAACCAAAAGATCTAAACAGATCAACTCAACCAATTGGAAATAGACCAAACACCAACTTGAAATCAATCGGGACAAATCTGAAACCAACAGCTTAAACAACCAGCCTAGAGTAGCTTCGATTGGGCCTAAATCTCAAACTAACTGTGAATTTAAGAATAGAACAATGCCCTTTCTGGAATTTTAGAGTTTTTCCAGAGGTTTTCTTTTACTTTTTGTTTTGTTCTCTCCCTCCAACTGAAGTCCCAATGAATTCTCCTCTCTCATATATCACAACAGGCCTCCTCCTTTTTTTGCTATTGGAGCACTTAGTCCATTAGAAAACTGATTTTCTCCCATGTGATCCTTTCTGTTTTTCCACTCAAAGCTCAAAAGAAATGTATTCCCCATCAGATTCCCCTGACAGCCCTCTTTTTTCATTATAAAAATGGTTTTCCTTTATTAAACTAAACAGGTATGGGGCAGCATGAATATGTCCTGACAGCACATGCTATCAAGTTAACTTTAATTCATTAAAGAAATACAATTCACATGCTTTCTGATGTCCAAAATCTAAAATGAATAAACAGCCAGTAATTCTATCTAAAGTGCGTAAAACAGGGCTATCAATTCAATATCAATCCAAACTAAACTCTGTAATCTACATTAAAACTGCAGCTATAACCAATTCAACTTCCTAAATTCTGGACTGAACTTTAAACCAAAATCATATCAACAAACAAAGGAGCTTAGCAGAACATTGAAGCTGAAGCTAAAGCTGAAATCAAAATTCATTGATGCTTAACAGAAGACCCAATAACAGCATTACCATGAATCAGAACACAAACATATTGAACTATCCAGGTCAAACTTCCAATCACCAGTGGCACATTATGGGAATGATTAATTCATAATTCCAAATTAAGCTAAATAGAGTGAAGGAAATCCTGCGATATACCGAACTTAACGAAGATTGATGAATATCAAAGAACAAAGAGCCACACATCACATATATGGGACAACCTGAACCAATGCCAGAAAGTCTATCATACATTATTTAAACAAAACAACAAAAGAAACCTACTGAAATGGACTATGAAATCAAGGCCAGGATTAAAACTACTATCAGGTTAAACTAACTCACATATAACTAACCAATCAATAAATTGACCAAACAGTTTACAGCATGTAACCAACAATTAGAGAAACTGGACCCAATAAACAGTCTGATGAGAAGGAGAGAAGTACTGAACAAATGACCAGAAGCAAATCAAAACAAAGATACAATTTAAAACAGACAAACAAAACTATAGAAGGAAACAAAAGAAATTAAGAAGAACTTACTATTCTTTTCTCGGATTTCAACAGTATGCCCTTTCGAACTTGATTCCTAGTCAGTATTATACGTCTATTTTGTGAGAAATAGGCCTACAATACTGAATAGAAACCAATCGACCCTGAAGCTTTGACACGTCTTGAAACGTTGAAACCCTAGATCCGTCATTCGATGGTTTTTACTCATGTTCGAGCCAATTTGGTTAGGGATTAAGGACGAGGAGGTAAAGGGGATTATTGGGTGTTAGTCTGGGGTCAAGGGGATAGCTAGGGCTTGGAGGGGAGATTTTTGATCGAAGATTCGAGGAGATCCAACGGGATTCGAGGGAATCTGTTGATGGTTTAGGGATGAGGGAAGCCTAGTGGTGGTGTGGTGTTAATTAGGGGTGGATTGGGGTGGTTTCATGGTTAGCTCGAAACTTCGATTGAAGATTCAAGAAGATGTGGGGTGATTCGAAGCAAATGGTTCATGGATTCGTGTTGTGGATGGGGAGATGGCTTAGGGGTGTTNGAGATCCACGGTTTGGATCACTTCACTTATATAAAACGGGGTCGTTTTGGTCTCAGTGGGGGACTGGGTCGATCCAGGGAAAAACGGGTCGGTTATGGGGTGAGGTCTTGGACCGTTGGATGAGGATGGATGAACGGTCGAGATTTACTGGTCTCGAAACGACGTCGTCTGATGCATCTTTGAGAGCTGAGGGTTTGGACAGGGTATAGGTCTCGTTTGGGCCTGATTTTGGCCCAAAAATGAAATGGCCCAGTCCAATTTCTTTCTATATTTTTGTTCTTTTCCTTTTTAATTTCTAGTTTAATTCCGAATTTACCAAAATCCTAAAATAAATTATAAAACAACAATTATATTACCAAGACATTAATTGATTCTTAACAATAATTAACAACAACATCAAATATTAATTAAACAAAATCAACCATTAAAAAATAGAGATGATAAAATTACCAAAATAATATTATTTTTTTGTGATTTTCATTCCAAATATGATTTAATTAATTCCTAATAGCAGAATAAAATCCTAAATTCATACGACATATTTTTTTTGTATTTAAACAATCACAGACAAAACTACAAATAACTATTTGAAATGCCACACAGATTTTAAAAATTACGCACAAAGAAAATTTGTTTTATTTATTTTTTGATTTCTTTTGGAGTAATTGTCGTGAGAGCAAAAATCACGTACTCACAACTTGCTCAGTTGGGTTCACTCGATTAAGCGCCGGTCGCGCCTCTCGAGGTTGGGGCATGACAGATGGCGGGCTAGCAGCAGATGAATATTAATTATTTGGCTCCATTGTTCGAATTAAAATTGTCAATCAATAAACTTTGAAGATGTTTGACTCTCCATCATTGACAGCCATTAAAAAGTTTTGAAACTTTGAATTCGAATTCAGATTTATAAAAATATGTTTTGTTTGGATTTGGTATTATTTTAAATGATTGGGAATATTCTATGGAGTTCATATCTCGATTTTGAGGGTATTTGGTGAAGTTTAGATTTAATTTGGGTTGGATTTTCATAAGAAGAAGAAGAATACATGACATACAATATACATATAAAATTGTATTAAAGTTATATAATAGTTGTAGGAAAATTGTATTTGATTGTATTTTATCTATAGTTTTTAAAATATTATATGAAAGTTGGAAATTAGCTATGTACTGTATAAGTGGTTGTATGAAAGTTGTATTTAAGTTATAAATATTATCTTTTTACATAAAGTTGTTGATATGTATCAAAATTGTATTAAGAGATGAAGTTTTGATTGAAATTTCAGAGAGGAAGAATAATACACCACATACAAAATATATACAAATCATATACAAAATACATACAAAAGACATATTGTATAAATTTTGTATGAAAATTGTATTTAGGTTGTATGATATTTTAGTTGTATTTAGCCGAGTAATAATGATGTGGGAAAGTTGTAGATAAGTTGTAATAAGTTGTATACCTTATAACTAGTTGTATTAAATTTATTGTTAGTTGTATGTTGTTGTATATATATCAAATTTGTATTAATCTTGTACGAAATTTATTTTAAATTTTTATGTTGATGTGCCATACATTATTCTTTTCTTATTCGATTTGTTAAAGAAAGAAAGACAGAGAATGAATTCCAAATTGACTCATGTGCACTGATTCATGGCGTACCCGTTTTAGCCCTCAAAGTTAATCTACTATAGACTTCAAATCTGATTGAACTGGAAATTGTTCGTGGAAGTAAAGCCTGCAAGAAAATAAAAGCGACTTCACCTCTTAAAATTTTGATCATATGATACAACCGTTATTTATACAACAGTTAAGATAAGAATTAAAAAAAAAAAAAAAACTTCACAGCTACAATCAAAATATCGCCAATGACACATCAAAAGGGTCTATACTTGGACATACCTATGTACCCAAGTTCACACGGTTAATTAACGNAATAAATGCCCAAGTTTCTTTTGGGTCCCAATTCCAATACGACCCCCACGCTTCATTAGAAGAATTAAAAAAAAAAAAAAAACTTCACAGCTACAATCAAAATATCGCCAATGACACATCAAAAGGGTCTATACTTGGACATACCTATGTACCCAAGTTCACACGGTTAATTAACGGAATGGAGAGTAGTAGGGTGTTGATCAATTTCGGATATTACTAGTAAAATAGGTCAGATTGCGACACAGTCGAGAGACTACATTACAATTGATGCAATCTTGATTTGTACTCCAAATCTAGCTCCTTCATGTCCCAGTAATGAATTTGGAAAGGAAAATGCTGACTCGGTACCGGATTAGCTGATTGATCCCAGTCGCTAATATCCTCATTGAAAGAGGAGCTGAGAGAAAATAGAACAGTTAATCAACTAAATCTCCTAATTTAAGGCACTAATAATGGATTGTATATAATTTGTAAGTAATCCTTGTTTATATAAAATTAGGACAATTTTGATAAATAAGTTTCAAATATTGTATATGAAAGAAAAAATCTCCTAATAAAATAACTAAATTGTGGATTCATGATATTTTAGAGTAGAAGTACAAAGTAGCATGGAGCTCTAATTTCCAATCACATTTGGTAGTTCAATAGTGCCGGAGCTTTCTGAGTAGTAAAATGGTCTGTTAAGGTTAAATGAGACTTGCGTTAAGCAAGCTTCTCAATGAATTTCGAATATAAGAAAATATAAAGTGCAGCAATACTTTAGGATGCAAAGGGCCACTATTATGGTAAATTATTACCTAAAAAGTGGTGGAATTACAAATACCAGATTCAACATCAAGAAGCTGAACCTTAAATATCTCGATGCTTTTTTGGTTTATGAAGTTTAGGTAGTATGAAAATCGCGTCATGTTATTATTCCACATACCTCGTAGTACTTACCACATTTCAATAAGGACATAGAAAATGTAAACAGCAGATTGAGTCTTGAAAATGGATAAGTTATAGCACTATCACAAGAAGACCATATTCCAAAAGAATTATCGACAAACTACACATAATTAGTGTATGCATAGAATTACCGCCTACATATTCTTCAAATTTCTTACCACTATATTGACACAATTGAATGATATTGTATATCACAAGGCAATTTAACAATTAGTTCAACTTCCCACTGCCGCCACATGAATTACAGGAGCGAGCCGCGTTGCATTTCATACAGTAGCTCCATTTTTTGGGAAGCCTGCCAAATGCAGGATATGAGTTCATATACTTAGAGGCTAGAGCTCAGTGCATATGAACGAGGGGCTTAACGAAATGGAAAACATACCCTGCTGTATATCTTGTAGCTGCATTCTTTGCCATCAGTCTTGCTCTCTCAGAATTTTCATCGGACATCCTTTTTAGCACAAATCCTTCCCCTCTGCATTCTGCACAAATTCCAGAGCCACCGCAGTCTTCACAGATTTTCGGCGGGGCCTGTCTATTGATAAGAACAACAATCAAAGGGGATAGTCTAAGAGCATAATAAGAAGTGCATTTGAGCTACAAATCATTTGATTTCTCCCCTACTTAAACTTCACAATTCTGCATAGTATTTCTCTTTTTCTGGTTAGTTTGGAGAATAACCTTCTACTGCACAAATAAAATCTTTGCTTCAAAGAGAGAACAAGCTGAAAATGGATAATGAAATGGCAAAATTGTTCTACTAACTGAAAGAACTGTTTCCACCGTAAATGCAAAACTAATTCTGAATTTATTTTTTCTGATCAGAAGCTAGGCGAAACTCGGCTTATTTTAGTTTTTATACGGATGAGATACATCAATAATCAAACCAAGAGGAGCAGAAACTAAACAACTACAGATTGGTACCTTAGGTTAACCTCACTGAATTGCAAGAAACAAATATCATTTCCTTTTTTGTTGCACTAGAATTTTTAGCAGGATATATCTGAATACAAATTGATGCAACAGTTGACTGAAAATGCAACTCGCAAACTTTCTGCTGGAGAATACTTCTTTTGTTGTTGCCCTTTACCGAACAAATACGTTTCTTCTTTTTCTTGAAAGACAAAAATATTATCAAACAATGGTAGAAGAAAAAGCCATGTCTTCCTCGATATTTTTAAGGTATAAATCATATGTTCATTTTGGGATCATCCAGAAGGCAACAAGATTTTCATTGTACTCCAAGATCAGTATCAGAAAATGTCCTTAAGTGTAATTTCAGCGCTAAGATTAAATATTTGATTGAGCTGCTCTAGGATATGAACAAATATTTATATCAGAAGAAATAACTCTTGTCAGCTTTCAACTCACCTCAATTGCTTCCGAAGCTTTAGTTCTCCTTACAAGAATAGTTGCGGCAGCACCCACAACTGTGGCAGCAACTGCAATAGACACTGCTGTTTCTGCAAGTGCAGAAGTTACTCTGAATCCTCTGCTAGCAGATTCTTTTGACTTGGTAGAACCAAGAGGATAAATGCGTGTAGATAACGCATTGCAATCTCTAGATTTCAACATTCCGGTTGCTTCAAAGATCAAAAATCAAGATAAGCTATAAGAAAGTATATATTTGACCCTTTTTTCTTCCATTATCTTAAACTTCTTTCCACAAATAGTTGAGAAACATCCTGGGATAATTCACAGAGAGGAATATTGAAAACTAGACAATACAACATATTAGTGCAGGGTGGATAAAATGGAGGCTCACATCCGGTATTTCTTGCGATAAGAATGTGCCACCAAGACTTAAAGGTAAGTTCTATAGAGTGGCCAGTAAACTGACTACATTTGGCCAGTCAAGAACTCTCGTGTCCAGAAGATGCAAGTAGCGGAATGAGGATGCTGAGATGGATGTGTGAGCATCAAGCGCGTACATACCTTAGTCCAAGCGGTGTCATCCGACACCGCTTGGTCGAAAGGTTCTACTAATTATAAATATATGTAATATGCAAGAAAAAAGAGAAATGTTAATGAAAATTAAAATTGGAAGTGCTTGACAACTAGTGTGACTTATGTAGTGGTTGAGCACATCAAGATCTTTAAAGCTGGTTGTGAGATCGAGCCGTGATGTACTCTTAATTTTTGGAACTTTAAATTTATCATTTAAAAAAAATACAACTCAGAAAGAAGCGAATTCTTGCCCTCAACCTTCAAGCCTAAAATCGCTATGGTGCCATATGCTCACAAAAACATGTCTCAGATAAGTGTATCACATATTATTATGAACACATTTTCAAAAATAATTTTTGTTGGCGCGAGTCATAGTAATATATTTTGAACTATATTTTATTAATATAATTTGAATTGTATTTTTTAAATACGATATTCTTTCAATTATTTGTTCAGTTGTTCAATTCTTCAAAATATCGACACCGCTTATGAAAAATCATGTGTACGTCCCTGGTGGGCATACCAAAAGAGATAAGATTAAGAATGAAGATACTCGGGATAATGTGGGTGCGGCCTTCGTGGTGGACAAGATGCGAGAAACGAGACTGAGATGGTACGGACATGGGAAGAGGAGATGCATTGATGCCACAGCGATGTGTGAGAGGCCTGAGAGTTAAAGGTAGGCCAAAGAAGTTGTAACGTGGTCATATCTTTGGCCTTGTAACCAAAGGCCTTGTTCGCCCATTTTTCATTTAAGCAAGACAAGTCCCGCGTGGCTATCTCTTGGCCAAGTATTTTGGCCTTGATTTTCTATAAAAGGGCAGCTTCATTCATGTTACAGATGCACCAACAATATTGAGAATTCAATTCTTGTTTCTTCCCCTCCTCCTTTATTTATTGAGAGTATATTTGTAAGAGAGTTTAGTGTTGGAAAACACTCGTGTGATTCTCTTCTTTGGAGTGATAATGTGAGGTTATTTCCTCGGGGATATTTTGGGTTGATTAGAGGTCTATCTCATCTTGTACTCTGTTTTGTACTCTTGTTGAAATAGTGAAATTGCACCTTTATGCTTGTGGGTGTAGGTCATACTGACCAAACCACATTAAATATGTGCCTCTTTTATATGCTTTAATTATTATTATAGCTTGCATTGTCTTTATTTTTATCGTTATACACGTCGTTTGACTAAATTCCGCACTACTCGGGTTTCCGGCTCTAATAAAAATATTAGGTGATTAGGGAGGATATGATGCAACTTCAACTTATCGAGGACATAACTGATGACCCTTAATAGGAGGGTGGAGAAGCGAGAAGATTAGTAGGTAGTCGAGCGTATCTCTTTCCCATACCAATAGTATTAGTATCATTTTCGTATTTTCTTATTCTTAGATTTCTATTACTACATGTTGTTTCTATTACTTCGGTTATTTGTTATTGTTTCTTTTTCTTTTCCTTGAGCTGAGGGTCTATCCAAAACAGTCTCTCTACATTCACAAGGTAGGGTTAAGGTCTGTATACACACTGCTATATCCAGACCCTACTTGTGAGATTACCCTGGGTTTGTTATTGTTATTGTTGCTGTACTATATGCCTCTTAATTTAACACAGGATATTTTAGTATTGAAGCACAAGTAGTAATCAGGGATGCAGTGCACAACCCACTGAAGAGGCCATTTGCATGAGCATAATGAAGATGTGAACTCAATGATGTAAAAATCATTCATCAAAAGCTAAACATGTATTTGAAATCATCTAACTATGGAAACTTCAAGTAAGAAACTGCAAAAAACAGGTAAATCCTTCCACAACAGATAGAGAAAATAAAAAGGTGGTAACACTACAAGGAGCACAGATCTACCCAAGAACATCCATGAGTATGAACTTTTGCTGAGGGCAAGTTAATTAGCCAGGGAGAAACTCAACCAGTTTTAGCTCTAAAAACTTTTTCTTTCTTTACTGTACGTGTTTTATTTTTTTAAAATTCCCGGTTTTGTTAATGTCAGTTCTGGGACAATAGCTTTGTCCCCAGCCATTTATTGAAGACTAACACGTCCATTATTTCACTAAACAATAACATTTGAGTCGAAAATTTGCCCCCATCAATATACAACACCAGCCTCATCACTCACTGTTAGTGAACACTGTTTCTGATAATTTTCTTAGTTTCTCCCTGCATCTCAACAACTAAGAATACCAAGTAAATCTTGTAGGTTTCCACATAAAAATCCAATGACCTTCAACCCTTAGCACTAGAACCTATGTGAATTGTACTTGGTTCAATTACTCAAAACTTATCAATAACCCCAGACACTCAAAAACCAGACTGAAATTTACCTTCATCTTCTTATCTAAATGGTAAGTTCATTATCAACCATACATAACATTAAATTGCAATTGAATTTGATATGAACAAAATCCATTAAATCGCCCGTGCTTTCCTTTAATATCCACAATCACTTTGCAATAGTTCCCACAACATTTCAACTTCATCAACTACTTTTTGTTACAATTTCATCTATGGTACAGACTACAACTACTAATGCGCCTCAATCCAAAATAGCTAGTTGGTGTCGTATATGAATCCTCACAATGCAATTCGTACTATATGGAGCCGTTTCACTATAGTACTCACTTTACCCTGCAGTGGGAACTGATAAATGCGAACTAAATGCAATAGCGCTATTGATTTCTAACCAATGGATAGGATTGATAACAGTGTTAGCATTACAGGTGGCAAACAGAAACAAATTAAACATCAAGAACGAAGACAAACTCCATTGTGGTATGTAATCTTACTTGTTATAAATGGCGAGAAGCGTAAAGAGATGAGCTCCATCTTATGGTTAAAATAACGATTCTCAAAGGGGGGATATTTCTCTGAACTGATATTCTTCCTAAACTGCCGAAGATGCCCTCAGCCCCTTCTTTTCGCTAAAGTTGCCCTCAGCCCCTTCTTTTCGCTAAAGTTGCCCTCAGCCTTTTGCTTTGGCAGGATACCTTGAAACCCCATGTATTTGGCACGAATTATTAGTTGTATTCTTAAATTATTTGTAATCTTAGTTATTAAGAATTTAGCTATTTGATATATGTTATTCCCCGCACAACCTCATCCCAAAAAAGTAACATGTACGCCACGTGAATTTTTCTATCCACCTAGTATTTTTTATTAATAAAATATTTTTTTACCATTTTACATCCATTAATTTTTTATATCACCTTTTTAGAATCAAATTTGCAATAAAATTTGGCTAGAACTTCATTATTTAGGCTAAATCTTTTTATTTGGCTAAATATGATGAAGCTTCAGTTAATTTTTTTTTGAATTAGGCACGAAAAAGAATAAATACACAATTGAAAAAGTAATCATTGCATATAAAAAATATATATAAAAAGAAATAAACAATTTAACTTTTATTAATTTGGCTAAAAAAATTTATTTAGCTAGATATGATGGAACCCTAAGCAAGTATTTTATTACAGATTTTGCCGGAAAAAAAAATACTTGCAATGAATAACCATTACATCAAAAGAAAAAATAAATACATAGTTGCAACTTCACTACTTTGGTTATACCTTATTCATTTGGGAAAAAATAATGGAGCTCTAGCAATTTTTTTTATTGATTTGACCTAAAAATAAAAATACTCAGTTGACATAAATAATCATTGCATCTAAGAAACGAGATATACACATTTGGTACTACATTATTTTAGTTTGAACTTTTTTTATTTGACTAAAATGATAGATTTTTAGCCAATTTTTTTAACAAATTTGGCCTGAAAAGGAAGAAATACACAATTAAAATAAATGAAGAAGTATACTAATATGAAGCAAGAAAAAATATAACAATTTTAACAAGTAAAATATTGTGTAAGAGTATATGACAATTAACGGTTCTAAAAATAGCCCACCTGAAAGCTAAATTTTCTTCACTCTCATATGCCCAAAAGAGAGTGTATCCATGCATTTCGCTACATCAACATCCACGGGGGTCATAAAGATCAGGAGTTAGGGGTAACTTGACGAAGGACAAAACTCAGGAGTTAGGGGAGAAGTTGTTGGCTATGATGGCCTGGATGAGTAAGGGGACGCGTCTAGTATGTGGTTCACGACTACGGATTGCATTAGGGTAGCTGCTAGAGAGGTCTTAGGGGTCACGAAGGGCTCTCCTGGGGGTCACAAAGGGGACTGGTGGTGGAATGGAGAGGTTCAAGGTAATGTGGAAGCTAAGAAAACTACTTATTTGAAGCTAGTAGAAAGTACAAACGAGGAAGAAAAAAAGACTTATCGGGAGTGTTACAGAAAGGCAAAGAAAGAGGCAAAGTTAGCAGTTACGACGGCTAAGAACGCAGCGTTTGGTCATTTGTACGAGGATCTCGAGGGCAAAGGCGAGGACAAGAGGTTGTACTAGTTGGCCAAGGTGAGAGAGAGGAAAGCCCATGATTTAGACCAAGTCAAGTGCATCAAGGACGAGGATGGAAAAGTGTTGATGGATGAGGAACTTATTAAGAGAAGATGGCAAACATACTTCCATAAACTGTTGAATGAGGAGGGGGATAGACGGGGTGAGTTGGAGTACTCCGAGAGTCGACGGGATTTTGGGTATTGGGTTGTTTAATGTTATTTTTAAGACAAAGAATATGGCCGAAGAATGGAGGTGGAGTGCGATGGATTCGCTTTACAAGAACAAGGGTGATATCCAAAATTGCAATAATTATAGGGGTATCAAGTTGTTGAGTCACACTATGAAGGTTTGGGAGAGGGGGGTGGAGGCCAGGGTGAGGAGGTGCGTGTCTATTTACGAGAATCAATTTGGATTCATGCCGGGGCATTCGACTACGGAAGCGATTCATCTGGTAAGGAGATTAGTGGAGCAGTAAAGGGAGAGGAAGAAGGATTTGCATATGATGTTTATTGACCTTAAGAAAGCATACGATAAAGTTCCGAGAGAGGTCCTGTGGAGGTGTTTGGAGGTTAGCGATGTTCCGGTAGCGTACATTAGTGTGATTAAGGATATGTATGATGATGCTAAGACTCACATGAGGACTGTGGGTGGTGACTCAGAGCATTTACCTATGGTGATGGGGTTGCACTAGGGATCGGCCCTTAGCCCATTTTTATTTTCTTTGGCGATGGATGAAGTGTCGCGTCACATCCAAGGGGAGGTGCCTTAGTGCATACTATATGCCGATGATATAGTGTTGATTGACGAGACGCATAGCGGAGTTAACGCGAGGTTAGAGGTTTGGAGACAGACCTTGGAGTCTAAAGGTTTCAAACTAAGTAGAACTAAGACAAAATACTTGGAGTGCAAGTTCAGTGATGGGACCCATGATGCAGACGTAGAGGTTAAGCTTGATGCTCAAGTTATTCCCAAGAGAGCGAGTTTTAAGTATCTCGGGTCTATTATCCAGGGTAATAGGGAGATTGACGAAGATGTCGCACATCGCATTGGAGCAGGATAGATGAAGTGGAGGCTTGCTTCCGGTATTTTGTATGATAGGAACGTGCCGCTAAGACTTAAGGGTAAGTTTTATCAAGTGGTGGTTCGACCGGCTATGCTATATGGGGCTGAGTGTTGGCCAATAAAGAACTCCCACGTGTAGAAGATGAGAGTAACAGAGATGAGGATGTTGAGATGGATGTGTGGGTGTACCAGGAGAGACAGGATTAAGAATGAAGCTATTCGAGATAGAGTGGGAGTAGCCTCCGTGGAGGACAAGATGCGGGAGTCGAGGCTGAGATAGTTCGAACATGTTAAGAGAAGAAGCATTGATTCTCCTATAAATGAGGTGTGAGAGGTTAGCCATGGAGAGTTTGAGAAGAGGTCGAGGTAGGCCTAAGAAGTATTGGGGAGAGGTGATTAGGTAGGACATGGCGCTGTTTCAGCTCACTGAGGACATGACCCTTGATAGGAGGGTGTGGAGGCCGAGGATTAAGGTAGAAGGTTAGTAGGTAGTTTATAGATTTTCACCGATAGTCTTAGTAGCATGCATGTCCCTTCATATTCTTAGATTTTTATTATGTTATATGGCTTTGTTCGCCTCAGGTATTATATTGCTTGTTGCTATTATTTGGTACCACTTATCCTTTATCTCTCCCTTTTTCTTTTATCTTCCATGTTTCCTCCTTCCTTGTTTTCCTCTTCTTCTTCTTTCCCTTCCTGAGCCGAGGATCTATTGGAAACAGCCTCTCTACCTGCATTAGGTAGGGGTAAGGTCTGCTTACAAACTACCCTCCCCATACCCCACCTGCTGGGATCAAACTGGGTTTATTGTTGTTGTTGTTAACATCCACGGGGGTATGGTTGTCAAATAGCTAAGTTTAGAGGGATAATTAAGATCACAAATAGTTCAGGGATGTAGCTAATATTTGTGCCAAGTTTAGGGAAGTTTTATGTATTCTGCCTTTGCTTTTTGGTTTATGAGGTAATAAAGTGTGTATCCATGCGAAGGATGTCATGTGGGCCATGGCAAAATGGTCTGCAACAGAGGAAAAAGGTTCAAGGTGGGTCGAAACAGGGGAAATAGGGGTATCGAGTATTACGGGATTATCAACCAAGGTTAAGAGGCTAGGCAAGGGGGTACCTCATTGACCCACATACCGATACCTGGAGGGCCGGCTAATAGAGGGGCATGGTTAGGTGGGATGGGAGGGGACGTGAGATATGGGAGAATCTTCTTTTTAAATATGAATAAAAACATGAATATTTTATAAGAGATTGAAAAATAATTCCAAGGCTAAAAGTATCTATTTTTATTTAATAAAAATAATAAGGATGCTTAGATGGATGTGCGGGCTTACTAGGAGAGATAAGATTAGGAATATAGATATACAAGACACGGTGGAATTTGCCTCTGTGGTGGATAAAATGCGAGAAGTGTGGCTGAGATGGTTTGGGCTTCTGAAAAGGAGGGGCACATATGCCCCTGCGAGGAGGTACGAGAGTTTGACAGTGATAGATCTAAGGAGAGGTAGAGGTAGACCGAGGAAGAATTGGGGAGATGTGATTAGACAGGATATGGTACATCTTCAACTCATCGAGGGCATGACCCTAGATATAAGAGCATGAAGGTCAGCATTAGGATGGAAGGTTAGTAGGTAGTCGAGCAATTTATCTCTTTTCTGGGGGAGATCATGGTTCTAATTTAGAACATTAGGATGTAAGGTTAGTTGGTAGTTGAGCGATTTCTCTCTTTTCTGGGGGAGATCATGGTTCTAATTTAGAACATTAGGATGTAAGGTTAGTTGGTAGTTGAGCGATTTCTCTCTTTTCTGGGGGAGATCATGGTTCTAATTTAGAACACCTTATCTGCTCCCTCCTCTCTTTATCAGTATTATTATTATTATTATTACTATCATCATCATCATCATCATCATCATCATCTTATCCTTCAAATTTATTACTACTGCTATTTATTTTACTTTATTATCTTTTCTATTTTGCTGTAAATACTTTTTTCTCAATATTTCATTTATCTTTACTATTTTCACTTGTATATTTTTTTAACATGCTTTAAAATATTTTTCTTAAGCAAAAGGTGTATCGAAAATAGCCTCTCTATCTCACATAAGTAAAGGGTAAGGTCTACATACACTTCACCCTTCTCAGACTTCACTTATGAGAACAGACTAGGTATGTTGTTGTTGTCGTAGAAATTTAAACTTTATACTTGTTTACCCTTATAATTGGATAACAATTAAACTTATAATGTGGTTTTAAGGATATGTGATTTCACATAATATCAATAATAAATGCGAAGAGTAATAATAGAAATTAACAATATTATAAAGCAAACCAGTGTTTGAACAAAATTCAGCCATCAAGCTTGAATACCCTCGAACTAATTTGTGCAAGAACAGTTAAAATATAACAAGTTGATGAACAAGGATATGATCTATAGAAAAGTTGTTATATTGCTTTGATATCTCAGAGTAAAAGGTGCCTACAAAATGATTAGGACCCTCTTTATATAGTAGAGGAATCCTATCTAT